CCTTTCTTTCGGTTTACGCTCCCTTTTGCAAAACTCTTTGCACCAATTTCGCGTTACTTTGGTGTCAGCCGAATAATTTTATTTATGGAAGGGAATTCTGCCGTACGTATCTTATGTTACTATTACCAACCCTGGCTTGCAATACGCATAGAGAATTTCGTCCGGCAACCAGTTTGGGAATGACGAGGCCAAATTTGTGTTATAATTTTTTTGAGGTATGAGCATCATTTCGGCCTCGTTATCAGTCGGTCTCTAAGATTGGCTCGTCAAGTATCTTTTCGGAAAGAGTAGGCGACTGGCATGTTTACAGTGCACGTGTGTCGACCAGAGTGAACATTGCTGAAGCGCTTCCAGTGTGATTTTGGCCGTAAATAACTGAAGGCCCCGGACAAACCCACCCCATGTAGAAAAGTATCTACCTTTCTGGTTTCATAGAGAGGTATGAAAGGGACGAATCCCAGCCGAGTCAAACTACCGGCTTGCAAACGCAATCGTGTTGGCAATAGCTCTAAGGAGTTTGTATGACTCTCTCTGGCGGTGTGCATAGCGTAAAGGTACGAAAGTAATATATGCTTTCGCCTAGTCACCTCGCAAACGGTTGGGTATTGGCTACAGAGATCCATTTCGCTTTGTTTTATCACCGGGATTATAGCTTGATTTCTGTGTTCCTAATTTCACAGACAGAACGAAATCGCTTTTCTCGTGGGGCGTCACGGCGGTGAGACAGAAATCAATCAGTGTACTGGAATTCGACGCTTGTGGTCGTTCTATAGCGCTTCTAAAAACCGTGCGATCACGGCTGTGCAACGTCAACAATGCATAAACTGCAGTTACTTGTACACGTATTGCATCGTGAGGGAACGACTATGACTGGGTAAACAGGAATATGGAGAATGGGTGCGTGTGATTTGTTGAAGTTCGAATCAACAAATCAAGCTTCAACGAATGCGATAGTATTGCATTCACTCAACCAGCTATATGAGTTTTCAGACGGTATATACCTTCTAAGTATGCGATTCGTGTTCTGCCAGTGGTACCTCAGCTAAATTAAAAAACAAAATCCACGTTGAAAAAAAAAAAAAGTTTATGGTGACTCGAGCCGCTTCCGCGCAGAATCATGTTTCACGTAAGCGTAATCTTGGGGTCGATACACGACGAGGGGTCTTCAATCATAAAAATAGTTTGATTACGATTATTCGCAACGCTAAAAATTTGAAAGCCAAGCAGTGAAGACAACGGTGTTTTTATAAATATTATATACATTTCATTTTACACTGTTTGAATACGCTGCCGTCGTTATGTTCTTGAATTATTGGCTAGCTTGTGGCGGACAGGGAAGTCTTGCAGGACCATAAGATAGGAGGACCTACACTAAACCTGCCGCGCTGCGAAAAATGTTAGTCCAGTGCATACAAGCTTGTTCAAGGCGGACGGAGCGTTGCGCATCCGGCAAAGCGCATTCGGTCGCTGCCCGCGGCGTTTTTTCTTTTTTTTTTTTCGGGCAGCGAAATAATTTTTGGTCAAGCAGCAGGCCCCCTTTTCGGCGGGCTAGGCCGGATTAACGGAGGCGTCTCCTAATCCATTCTCCGTGTTGTCCCCTCGGGGAAGGGCGGTAAACAGGGGGGGGGGGGGGCGGTGAAGGAAGGAAAGGAGGGCAGGGGAGGAGGAAACGCAAAAAAAGTGGAAAGCGCGAACTGTACGGCGGCCTTTAAACCGAAAACTCCGAACCCAAGTTACAAGACAAGAAGTCAGCGGCGAATGCCCCTCAAAGGGAGTCATATAGCCCTCCACCACCTCCGCATCCAATAGTGCCCCATCATTTCCGTGACATCGCGAGTAACGCGCGACTTTCTACTGCGGAGGGATTTGAAACCGGCGCATCACGCTTGTGGGAGGAGATTCTCCTACCTTTTTGGGACTTGTAACCGACTATAGTTCGGTTCTTGAGTACGAATCGGTGCCACGTTTACCGAGTAAGCTTATAGCAGTCTCCCAACTGAATTGTTCTAGTAACCTTGGCTGTGGAGGAGCAGTTTATCCAATGCAGTACAACCACTAGTCTGGGGTCTTTAACGTTCACCACGCAGTAGTCATACACGCAGACTTGTACACGTTACTGAAAAGACGTAACTGATTACAATTGCAATTACTTCACTGTAAAAAGTGACCGATTACAATTACAATTACAGCCTCAAAAAGTAATCGATTACTTCCCACATTACTTGCCGTTCAATTTCTTTTTATTAAAAATAGCCGCCTCGGTGGCTCCGAGGCGAGAGCGCCGGCCTACGGATCCCTGGGTGGCGGGTTCGAATCCCGACCGAGGTGCCTCGCAATATGAGGGAGGCTTATTGCGGAAAAGGCGCCATGTAACCGAGCTTTCGGTTTCACGTCAAAAGATCCCCAGGTGGTCCAAATTAATCCTCAGTCCTCCGCTGGGGCGTGCCAGATGCCCGTCGTTGGTTTCGCACGTAAAACACCCAAATTTGACTTTTTTTGTCGTTTTATTAATGTAGCATAATCCTTGGAGTCTCGCGCTCAATTGTTCCAAAAAAAAAAAAAAAAAAAAAACAAAGCCTTGACCGTTTTTGCTTGGTGCTGAGTGAGTGACGCCAACTCACCCAATCCCTCTTGTGAAAAAATAAAGTAATAAAAAGAGCGCTGTCTAAATACATTGCTCAGAAGAGACTGGATAAGGTCATTTTTCATACCCGGCGCAGTCTTCTGTGTACCAAAGAAAAAAGAAAAAAAAAAAAACGTACCCAGGAAACGAGGTTTAGTGAAGTGGCTTCCTAATCCTTGAGGTCCCGTGCTTATAGACCGACACGCTGTTTACAAACAAGCCCGTATTTGCCCACACCAGGTGTGGGCACTGCGCGTGCGCAGAAAGCGAATTTCCGTGACTTGAAGCGTCTGCGCATGCGCAGTGCCGTCCACAGTGCCACCGCAGATGCGTGACGTCAGGGCCGCGTGTTGGTCTTTTTTTTTTATAGTCGTTTTGAAAAAAAAAATATATCGACCGTTGCTTAGAGCTGTGTGACTCCAGCAACTCCCCCCCCCCCCCCCCCCCCCCACACACACAAAAAAAAAAGAAAAAAAAGGTTGAGAAAAATTGTAATGGGTAATTTTGTAATCGATTACAGCAAAAAAAGTAATTCGATATTGAGGATCGTTACTCCTTAAGGGATGTAATTGACGCGTTACAAAACTACAAAAAAATGTAATCGATTGGAAATAATCCATTACTTGTAACGCATTACGTACGGCTGGGCATCATACACAACCGCACGCCGGTACGACGCTCATCCAGGTCGAAACGGGTAGGGGTGGGGATTAGACCCTGGATCCCCAAGTTCTGCAGTGTGAGCTTTCGCTCCAGGTGCTCCGAGCTGGTGTGCGCTAGCCCACTCGGTCACCGATTCCCTCTGTTGACGTAGCTGGGGAATTGCAGTATTTCCCAGTAACGATATTTGAATGCGGTTCATAGATTGGATCCGAGCATTGCGTGAGCACTCGATTTGGGCTCGTGAGAATCAATAGCTCGACAAGCATTTGGGTAGTGGCCCGTGTCCAATCACTGCAGCGACGACAACTGCCGAACCACAATGCCTGGAACTCAGCGCGTACCAGGCACGTAGCCATGGGAGGGGCGGGGGGATTGGGCCCGGTTTTTTCTCGAAATATTTATATCTTTCTGGGACCTTCTCTCCGTGCTCTCCCTCATAAAGCATTTTGTCATGGGCGCCCCCCCCCCCCCCCCCCCCCCCCGAACCAAAATCCTGGCTCCGTGCTTGGCGCGTACCCTGTGCTATGCCAACTCCAGCGCGTGGCTATAATCAACATTGGCGGCATATAATCTTATCCAGATCACGTGGCCGCTTGTCCTGGCTGCGTGTTAAAAAAACAACCACTGCTTGTTCTTAAAAAAAAATTGCGACCTCTATTACGTGAGATGAAAAACGCTCGCGTGTTTCACGGGTCAATAATATCAGGGAGTTGTTCTAAGCGGTACTTGCGCGAAGTACAAAAATTGTTGCATCGCCCCTTTAAGCTTCTACTCGATCTCGTAGCACATTTTATTTTCATGTTCAATAAATGGTACACTCCGAAACTTCCTCCCACTACAACTTCCTCCGAGAGATCTTTCACATAAAATTAGTGCAACCGGCGGAGGCCTGGAGCGCAAGTTCGTCTGCTTTTTGCGCAGGGGTTGCGGTGACGTCGGAACGCCGAGATCAGGTTGGCTCTGATTGAAAGGAAAGTGGGGAGACTTCAATGCTATGTGCCTTGAGGCTTCCCCCACTAGACTTCGAAACGGAGCCAATCGGAGCTCGGGGTTCCGACGTCGCCGAAATCCCCCACCAAGAAGGTGACAAACTTGCGCTCCGCATGGTCACTGACAGCTCAAGAAAAGCAGGGCGTGGCATATTATGTTAGTCAAACTTCTTAATTTGTGATTGGTTCTTGGGCGTTTTTATCAGCCAATGCTGCAATCTGATTGGCTGAAGCGATAACAAGCTTCTCGGGAGTCGCCACGTCCTACGTTTTTTTAAAGTCGCAGTGGCCATAGCAGAACAGAACTCGTTTTGGATATTTTTAAAATAGACATATAGGATAAACTTTCTCGTTGCTATGAATGACTTTCTACGGAAGTCAGTTTACCCACCATGCGTATAACCGAACCCGACGCTCTAATGGCGGCACTGCACAGCTTCTCCATACCAAAAAAAAAAAAATAAAAATAAAAACACGAACGTTTTTGGAAACACAGAGCAGAAAGCGGAGAAGATGTCGCCCCTTTTATGTCATCTCTGATTCACTAAGTTGAGGGTCTTTGACTTAGGCGAGCACGATCCCCTATCACCGGCAATAGGGCGAGAATATTTGAGGTTTCGCTGCTGGCACATGATGACTCTGACTTTTGAAAAGGGTCTATTGTCACTGCTGGGAAAAGGAATAATAGTTGCATTGGGAGTACAAAAGGACGTAAAATTACTTACGTTCAAATAAAAGTAGAGTTAGGAGTAGACGCTTCATCTTCGCTGCAAAGAAGATACTCAAATGCCCATCTTCAAGCGAGGTCAACGGCGCTCGAGTTATCGCTCATCCTGTCTATCGGATCCCATTGGCGGTCTTGTTGGTTATCTCTCACGAGCCACCAATGAAACCGCCGTGAAGTGACGGCAGACAGCCGCGTCGAAATACGATACAAAGGCGGGGGAACTCGACGGTCTCTTTCACACGTTTGCAAACTGCGCACTCGCTCTAGAGCAGTCCGACGTACACTCCCAGGGGACTACTGTCGTTGGTCTTGTTCAGCGAACTAAGCATTTTACCAAGACTTTTTCGAAATCACCTTATTATTTCGAACTGGCCCTTAACAGCACGTTTTGGAGGTGCAATGTGAAATGTCGACACCAATATGGTTCACTGAAAATACCATCTGCTAAAAGTTCTCAGTGAGAAGGAAGATCGGCATGGGGACTGCATCATGATAACCGTTTCAGTGGCAAATGAGGGGACACAATTATGGCACTTAGGCAGCATGCCAACAGGTACGACGTACTGATCGCCCATATTATTGGTTGAACCGAATAAAGGAAGAGCTATGATTACTGTTTCCAGTACATATCTGATCGGTTTAAAGCAGGACCTTCTAAATTGCAGAACAAGCGATTGCAAACTAAAATCGGCATGTGCTTTGTTCCTTAGTAAGTGTCTGTGCATCGACGCTATTGATTGAGAGCTTGGGTTTTCTCATGGACTAGAAAGGCGGTGCCAAAAGCGGAAGGTTGTGGGGAAGTTATCTTACTGCATGCCCAACATAGAAGTACAACACGGAGCCGGGGTTTCAAAACAAGGGACTACAGTGGGGCCCCATATTCTAGAACTCTATAGACCTTTCCATCGCTTATCACCCGGGCGAAAAATGCTGACTCGCTGAGCTGTGACGCATGAGCAGCGTTTGATCTATCGCACAGCAGAGCAACAGCGCATGCTCAGAAGGCGCTCCACAGCTCAGCAGACAAAGATGGCAGCGCGCAGAAGGCGATTTTTGCAAAGGTCTATACTGTCAGGATTGGGGGTGAACGAGCATTACTGAATGCGTCCGGGTCGGTTGATCAGAAGAAGCGTACGAACTATAGGTAAATCACAAGCTTGTAAATATAAAAATATATAAATATCCTGCTGTATATATATAGGTCACTAAAATTTTCTTGCTAGCTCCACGATAACGCGGAGCAACCTGACACCACATATTAAAAGGAACATATATGTAGCACTGAAATAAAAGTAATGGGGCAGGCTAGCTGGCAAATGATCATACTTATAAAACTTCAAGACAAGGAGAAATATACGAAGAAAAAAAAAAGAGGACAACACAATGACGTCTCAAAACATATAACGCGGCAGAACAGAGCTTTCATTGTTGCAAACCACTTTTTTTTTTTTACTCGATTTTGGAAATCAAGCGAAGCCAGTAGATTGCATAAAACAAATTTTGGGTCAGTGTAGAGGTGTTATTATTGAGCTGACAGTATGGAATGGAAAGTAAACATATTCGACAGATATCTGCCTGGTTGGGTGAGAGTTAAAGTCTGAAAATATATCTCCAACCAAAAAATGAAAAGCAACCCGACGTTTCAAAACCAACACGGTTTCTTCTTCAGGGGTGACTGAAGGCGCGCGGACACAGCAACAGCTCCCAACCTCTTCGTCTTCAAAAAAGGAAAGAAAAAAAAAAAAAAAAAAAAAAAAAAAAAATTTTTTTTTTTTTTTTTTTTTTTTTTTTTTTTTTTTTTTGAAGACGAAGAGGTTGGGAGCTGTTGCTGTGTCCGCGCGCCTTCAGTCACCCCTGAAGAAGAAACCGTGTTGGTTTTGAAACGTCGGGTTGCTTTTCATTTTTTGGTTGGAGATATATTTTCAGACTTTAACTCTCACCCAACCAGGCAGATATCTGTCGAATATGTTTACTTTCCAGTCTTTACGCCTTGACTTCGGACCGGAAACAGCACAGCTAGCGAAGCGGTTTGTCAACGTAACCCGCAGCATTTCAACCTACAAGTCTCATCTCGACTTCACGAGGTCCTGCCGGGATATGAACCTTGTTCCCCGAAGCCTCCGTCTCAAGCGCCTTGTCCACACAGAGGAAGGGCACAAGATCGTGGCGCAGGCAGAGAAACGATTGGTAAGCGCCAGAATTCACGATTGCCAGGCCACAATAAGAAGAAAAGAACTGGACCTCTTCTTCGCACGCCGGCAACTCGAGCACCGCATCCCGGACGTGTTCCCGGCTTTGCAGGCTTTTGCCACAAGTGTCGCATCTACTGCTTTGGATAAACGACGGACTTCTCAGAAAGAGAAGATTTCAAGGCTAACAAGATCGGACCGTTCAAGTCGAGGCACCAATGACACAAACTTTGTCAAGAACCTCTCCTCTCGACAGCTCTCGCCATGCGAGATTGCGGTCTTGGCAAAAGGCCACGGATTTAACATGACCACGCAACGGCCGCCTCTTCCAAAAATGGTCGCGGCTGTGGAGGACGGAATTATGCGCTTAGACCCTAGCATCCGGGATGGAGTGCGGCTTAAAGCGGTGGGCATCCTTTCCAAGCTCCCACAACGGCAACGACTCAACCTGCCGGCCGAAGAAGTTACAGCGCTTCGGAAACTTCGTGAAGAGACGGAGATTGTGCTTCTGCCGGCTGACAAAGGGAAGTCGACCGTCGTCCTGGATCGGGAGGTATACGAGGAAAAGGTACGGGACCTTCTTGGAAGCCATGCTTACGTAAAGCTCAAGAAAGATCCGACGCCACAGGTTCAGAGGAACTTGAACAAAATCCTGGCAGAGATTTTCAAGAAATACCCTCAGTCAAAGAGCCTTTACTTGCAACTTATTTGCAGGAATGGCTCCGCTCCAGGTTTTTACGGCCTTCCAAAGATCCACAAGCCGAACGTGCCTCTACGACCTATTGTGGACTTTACAACGTCACCGCTTCGGGCACTATCCAGTTACCTTCACCGGACTTTGGCTCCCCTTGTCGGAAACACGTCGACCCATGTAGAAAATGCTGGCCACTTCGTGGAACGCGCCTCGCAATTACATCTCGGCGATGGTGACACCATGGTGTCTTTCGACGTGGTGTCCCTCTTCACCAGTGTCCCAGTTCCCCTTGCAGTTGCTGCAGCCCGCGAAGCCCTCGAAAAAGACAGCTCCTTGACCACAAGAACCAACCTCACTGTGGAAGAGCTGTGCCGTCTGCTCGAGTTTTGTCTTGGCAGCACATACTTCACCTTCAAAGGGGAGCTTTTCAAACAGGTCAGTGGCACTGCAATGGGTGCGGCCATCTCGGTCACAACGGCGAATCTCACGATGGAGGCAATCGAGCAAAAAGCGCTGAGGTCTTTTCCCAACAGCCCCAAAGTATTCATGCGCTATGTAGACGATTGCTTCTGCATTCTCAAGGAACGGGACGTGAATAATTTTTTGGCGCACCTCAACTCTATCGAGCCGGCCATTAAATTTACCGTAGAATATGAGACGGATGGCACCTTGCCGTTCCTTGATGTGCTGGTGAACCGACGAGGACAAGATCTGACGTTTGCGGTGTACCGAAAACCAACACACACCGGACGCTACCTCGATTTTGTCTCCAACCATCCAACGAGTCATAAGGCCTCAGTGGTTTCGACCCTGCTGCGTAGGGCAACGACCATCTGCTCGTCGGAAACCGATAGAAAGAAGGAGAAGAAGACCATAATTGAAGACCTAAAGAAAAATGGTTACTCTAGCAGCTTTATTGAGCGCATCGCCCGACGGCAAGGTCTCGCCAGACAAAACCAGATGCCAGTAGAACGACAGCCCCATCGAGTCGCGCGCATAAGCGTTCCCTACGTAAAGGGAACCAGCGAAGCGCTCGCACGAGTACTGGGAAAGCAAGGTATTCTGGTGGCCCACAAGCCCACGTCCACACTGGGAAGGTTTATGCCAAGACCGAAAGACCGTCCACCAAAGGAAAAAGCACAGGGCGTGGTTTACACCATTCCTTGCGCAGAGTGCCCTGCAACCTACATCGGCGAGACAAAGAACTTTCCCGAGCGTATCCGCCAACACAAGAACGACGTGCGGAAGTTTGACAGTGAGCGCAGCGCCATCGCCGAACATTGCGATACCCTAGACCATCGCATTGACTTCGCGAACGCGCACGTGGTGGACACAGAGCCCAATTTTCGAAGAAGACTTTTCTTGGAATCGTGGCACATCCAGCACACCCCAGGAAACCTAAACAGGTCGCTGGGCGCTCTGCCCTCTGTGTACGCACATGGCCTCCGTGACCTGACGGAAAAGCTGAAGAGATGACCATCTTCATAACTAACAAGTTATTTTACAATTTTTCCGATTTCCTAACTTCTCTTTTTTTTTTTAATTTTTTCTTTTCTCTTTTTTTTTTTTTTTTTTTTTTTTTTTTTTTTTTTTCTTTCCTTTTTTGAAGACGAAGAGGTTGGGAGCTGTTGCTGTGTCCGCGCGCCTTCAGTCACCCCTGAAGAAGAAACCGTGTTGGTTTTGAAACGTCGGGTTGCTTTTCATTTTTTGGTTGGAGATATATTTTCAGACTTTGACAGTATGGAAGTTGGGATACATCATGGATCCGCTTCGTAAGTTTATTCGGAGTGAGTCTTTTGTTTTGGTTACAAACTTCAGCCAGTCCCTGTAACCGTCGCTGTATTCATCGGGCGGCGGAGAGAAGCTCACCGGAGAACAGCTCACCGGAGAAAAGCTCACCGGAGATAAACTCACCGGAGAAAAGCTCACCGCAAAACCGGCAGATGCGGAGAAAAGCTCACCGATATTTTTTTAGCTTAGCGTGATTCTGCGTAAAACGTGGCAATTTAACACAATTCGCATTCGTCACTTCATTAAAAATATGTCCTCGTTTTTGTAATATTCTTGAGGTTCATCGGGCATATTTACTAATTCCTCAGAAATTAGTAATCACCCATTCTGTAAATTAATGAAGCCGCAAGTATAAAGTCAGAACATCGTATACCGGTAAAAAAGGCAACAATTTATTGACAGCTGGGGGTGCGCCGTCGG